GTGTGTGTGTGTGTATGCGTGCATGTGCGCAGTACCTTCTTCAGAGGCTACTTGGTTAGATACTCACGGAAAGACTGTAAGAAGGTTCCAGAATCACAGGTAATGACATCTTCCCTTGAAGATTCAATTTTGTTAAATAAAAAATTTTTTCCCCCACAATCTTTTCTTTTTTCATGCGACGTACACCATACAGTCTAAACCGAACTGCATAATTTCCAATCATCTCAGATTCGACATGGTTAAACTTGAACGTTTCTGTGAAGACAGGGCATGGCCCTCGCTGGACGCTCGTCTTGGCTCTCTGTTTCTTTATGGGCAGAAGAACAAGGTGCACTTGCCAGCAGTTGTTGCCGGTCCTGTTATACATTGGGATGTCTGTGACAGCTGTCACTGTTACTAGGAGCTTCTGTTCTTGTGAGTCATAGTCAAAAGTCACATCCAGGGTGCCATATTTAGCTTCTGGCTCAGGATCAAAAGGTTTAGGAAGCTGTGAAGCTGATCCTTGAGCTGACACATCCTAAGAAAAATAAATTTAAACGTTTCAGTTTTTAAGTCCTATTATCAGTCTTTTAGAGAAATATATGCATGACTTTTCTTAAGCCTGGTAATGTTAATATAACCTTGATTAATTATAATGAGAACAAAAAAAGACAAAAGGATATATCTATGAGGCTAAAGTAGTTTACCTAAGTGATGAAGCTACTCTAAAATGTTAGCTTTTTAAAAAATCACAGAATTTTATATTTCAAAAATTCAATTTTCAAAAAGGAGAAAGGGAAAAATCATCATAAATGGAAATATGTAAAATTTAGAAAACTTCCAAAGTTTACTTTCAGAACTATGAACATGTGTACTAGCCTTTTATTAGCTGAGTTGAAAATTATAAGAAAGTGAAAGTATGGTACAATTTGGATTTATTTTTCAAGGACTGCTCTGAAATATCATTACTAATATGAAAAAATATCCAAGGCTTGAAAAATAAAGGAAATTTAATATGAAAGTATAAACATTTCAGTCCTAGAAAAATTTCCTCCAAACACTCTTTACAATGTAGATTATACTTATTCCCAAATCATTTTCATTAGCAATTGTTAAAAACAAATAGCTCCATAAATTCATTACCAATAAGAGATTTTGAAATCCATAAACTTCCTATGGAAAAATTCAGTTTTACAAAGTTTCAGGTGAAGGGTGAAACAAGTTTTATAAGCAAATAGAAGAAATCTTCCTGTTATTACATCCATTTTTCTCTTGAGGATTATCAATTACGTGCCAATTCAACCACCCGGGGCATCCCAGGAATGTCAGGCAGAACTGCTTGCCTTTCATGATTTTCCTCTAGCAACATCTGCAGGGGAGCATCCTGTCAGGCCTGACAGAAGTAGATGAGACTTCTTAGGAAAGGATGATCAAAAAAAGATACACCAATGTGTCCCTTTTGTCAGGGTCCTGTTACTGTTAACTGCCAGAGTTCCATAACTTCTGACACAGGTGCATCTGAGAAAGTGCATGTTTACTGAATAGGAAGGGCTCGTAAGGTTATTTTTATATACTTATTTAATATTTTATTTTTCCCCCAATTACATGTAAAACACTTTTTAACATTAGTTTTTTAAAATTTGAGATCCAAGTTCTCTCCCTCCCACCCACCCCTCCCCACTCATTGAGAAGGCAAGCAATTTGACATAGGTTTTATACACGTAGACATGCAAAACATATTTCCATGTTAGTCATACTGTGAAAGAAAACACAGACCAAAAAAAAAAAAACAACCCAAGAAAAATAAAGAAAGTAAAAAAAATGTTTCAATCTGCATTCAGATTCAGTTCTTTCTCTGGAGCTGGATAGCATTTTTCATCAAAAGTCCTGTGGAATTGTCTTGGATCATTGTATTGCTAAGAAGATCTCAGTCATTCACAGTTGATTATTGTACAATATTGCTGTTACCGTGTACAATGTTCTCCTGGTTCTGCTCACTTCACTTATATCAGTTCATGCAAGTCTTTCCAAGTTTTTCTGAGAGCATCTTACTTATCATTTCTTATAGTACAACAGCTATCTATCACCATTATATACTATAACTTGTTTAGCCATTCACCAAGTGATGGGCATTCTCTCAATGTTCAATTCTTTGCCACCACTGAAAGAGCTACCATGCATATTCTGTACATAAAAGTCCATTTCCTTTTCTTTTTTTATCTCTTTGGGATACAGGCATAGTAGTGGTATTGCTTGGGTCAAAGGGTATGCATAGTTTTATAGTGCCCTTTGAGCACTGTTCCAAATTGCTCTCCAGAATGGTGGAATCAGTTCACAGATCTACCAACAGTGCATTAATGTCCCTCTAATTAATCCCCTCTACCATTTGTGATTTTTCTTTTCTATCATGTTAGCCAATCTGATAGGTAATAAGTGTGGAGGAGTGGTACCTCAGAGTTGTTTTAATTTGCATTTCTCTAATCAACAGTGATTGAGAGTATTTTTCATATAATTATAGTAGCTTTGATTACTTTATCTGAAAACTGCCTGTTCATATCCTTTGATCATTTATAAATGACTCTTATTTTTATAAATTTGACTCAGTTCTCTATATATTTAAGAAATGAGGCCTTTATGAGAGAAACTTGCTGTAAAGATTTTTTCAGTTATGATTACTGAGTATTTCCTTCCATCCTATTTTCCCCCTGTTTATCCTCTTCTCTCTTTCCTTTCACCCTGTCCATCCTCAAAAAAGAAAACAACATTTTGCTTCTATCACCTCACTTAATCCACCCTCCCTTCTATCAGTCTCTGCCCTTTATTTTATCCCTTTCCCTTACTACTTCCCTGTAGGGGACTTCTATATTCAACTGAGTGTGTATGTTATTCCCTCTCTGAATCAATTCTGATAATCTAAGATTCAGGCACTCGCCCACCCCGGACTTCCCCATCTTCCTAATCACTATAAAAGTTATTTCATGCCTCTTTAATGTGAGATAATTTACCCTATTCTACCTCTCTCTTTTCCCTTCTCTCAGTGCATTCCTTTTTCTCAGTCCTATATTTTTTTAGATATCATCCCATCATAATCAACTCATACTTGCGCCCTCTGTCTCTGTATACTATTTCTATCTGCCTGAATGACAGCTCTTAGAAGTTACAGATATCATCTTCCCATACAGGAATGTAAACAGTTTAACCTTATTAAGTCCCTTATGATTTATCTTTCCTATTTACTTTTTTATGCTTCTTTTGAGTTTTGTATTTGAAAGTCAAATTTTCTATTCAGCTCTGATCTTTTCATCAGGAATGTTTGAAAGTCATATATTTCACTGAATACCCATCCCCTTTCTCCCCCAAAAGAGTATATTGTGTTTTGCTGGGTAGATGATTCTTGGTTGTAATCCTAGCTATTCTTTAATGTAGAAGCTGCTAAATCCTGTGTAATCTTGACTGTGGCTCCACAACACCTGAATTGTTTTTTTCTGGCTGCTTGTAATATTTTCTCCTTTACTTGGGAACTCTAGAATTTGGCTATAATATTCCTGGGAGTTTTAATTTTGGTATTTATTTTAGGAGGTAATTGGTGGATTCTTTCAATTTCTATTTTACCCTCTGATTTTAGAATATCAGGGCAGTTTTCCTTGATTATTTCTTGAAAATTATGTCTTTTTTATCATGGCTTTTAGAAGGTTCAATAATTCTTAAATTATCTCTCTTTGGTCAATTTTCTGGGTGAGTTATTCTTCCAATGAGATATTTAACATTTTCTTCTATTTTTTCATTCTTTTGATTTTGTTTTATTGTTTCCTGATTGTCTCATGGAGTCATTAACTTCCATTTACCCAATTCTAATTTTTAAGGAATTATTTTCTTCAGTGAGCTTTTGTATCTCCTTTTCTACATGACTCATTCTACTTTTAAAAGAGTTCTTTTCTTCAGTGAATTTCTGTACCTCTTTTTTCATGTGGCCATTTCTGCTTTTTTAAGGAATTCTTCTCTTCAGTGGATTTTGTGCCTTTTTTACCCCTTGGCCTATTCTGTTTTTAATATTGTCTTCACTATTTTTTGTGCCTCCTTTATCAAGCCATTGATTCTTTTTTTTAAATGATTTTCTTCTATCACTCTCATTTCTTTTCCCATTTTTTCCCTTCTATCTCTCTTATCTGAATTTTAAAATTCTTTCTGAACTCTTCCAGGAATTCTTTTTGGCCTGAGAACAATTTGAATTTTTCTTTGAGACTTTGGATGTAGCGGTTTTGACTTTGTTGACTTCTTCTGAGTTTGTGTTTTGACCTTCCCTGTCACCATAGTAACTTTCTATGGTCAGGTTCTTTTTTTATTGTTTGCTCATTTTTTAGCCTATTTCTTGACTTTTAACTAAAGTTCAGCTCTGCTCCAGGAGTGGAGTGGGCACTGTCCTAAGCTTCAGGTTTTTTTGTGTAGCTGTTTTAAGAGCTACTGGGAACCTGTAAATTTTCCATTCTTCTAAGGTGGCATAATCTAAGGAGAGATGTGTACTACTTTCCTGGCCTGTGCTCTGGGCTGTGAGTGACCACAAGCACTCTTATCTACCCTGGAACTATGACCAGGGTCCCCACTCCCCTGCTGTCAAAAGCTGTGATGTGCTAGTGATCCTTCTCATCCTAGTACAATGACCCAGATCTACTTACAGGCAATGCAACAGAGTCCTGCACCCAGTGCCAACAAATGAACCTCTGTAATCTCCTTTTGACCAGTTGTCCAACCTCCTTCACATCCGTGGACTGACAGCTGTAGAAGCCACTGCAGCTAATTCAGTCATCCCCAAAGCTTGCTGTTGATTTGCTGGAGTCTGCGGGCAGTGATGTAGCCTGTACTGAACTGTGCTCCACTCTCACCCAGGTAGGACAGATCTTTCCTACTGACCTCCTAAGTTGTCTTGGTCTGGAAAACTGTTTCACTCCATCCTTCTGTGAGTTCTGCTGCTCCAGAATTGTTTTTGAGGTGTTATTTAAAGTTGTTTGGAGGGAAATCTGGGAGAATAACGGTGAGTCCCTGCTTTTTCTCCATCAGCTTGGTTCCACACCACTCATAAAATTTTAGCAAGGATGTAGCTGTTGAAGCTGTTATTTACTTTGTAACATAGAGTTTTTATTGTTCAGTTATTTCAGTTTTGTCTAACTCTTCGTGACCCCATTTGGGATTTTCTTGGCAAAGATCCTGAAGTGGTTTGCCTTCTCTCACTCATTTTATAGATGAGGAAACTGAGGCAAACAGGGTGAAGCAACTTGTCCAGCATTAGACAGTTAGTATGTGTCTGAGGCCAGATTTGAACTCAGAAAGATGAGTCTTCAGGCTCAATATTCTATTCACCACACCACCTACCTGCTCCATAATATAGAGCATTCATTGCCAAGACCTTTGATTAACCCTGCCTAAAACTCTAAGCAGATTACAATACAATCCAAAGCAAAAGACAGTCGCAGAAACATAGTCACAATACAAAGGAACACAGACACAGATTCCCCAGAATTACAATAGTTTGTCAACACACACAGCCTATAATTATATAATATATAATACATAAAATATATATTAATATTATATAATATAAATAATACATAATATACTAATATATTTTATATTATAATATATAATATATTTATATTAATTATATAATACAAATATAAAATTATACAATATATAAATTATAATATATCATTAATATAGAATAATATATTAATATTATATAATAATACATAATATAATATATAATATATAATATATACATATAATATACATAATCATATAAGGCCCACTCCTCATTTTTATTTGGGGTCTATATTTGGTGCCAGAATAAGAGAGATGCTTGTATCTTCCTCTGGGCTCCTGGCAACAGATGTACCTTTGGTCTCCCAGAGCTCAATTACTCTGCTTACTTAACCTCATATGAATCTGAGAAATGATCCTATGAATAGTTAGCCAGAATTAAGGTGAGTGTGTATAATAAATAAAAGCATCTAAATAGGCACTTTAACAGAGATTTCAAAGTTTTATAACAGATTTTCTTTCCCATTAGTTTAGAACTTTTATTCAATCAGTTATCTGGGATAGGGGAAAAATTACCTTCTCCCTGATCTTATAATCAGTAGATCATCATACTATAGATTCAGGGCTAGAAATTTCCTTAGGGACAATTCAAATTTTCCAACTCTCATTTCACTTATGAGGAAACTGAAGTACTGAGAGGTGAGGTGGCTTACTCAAGGTCATAAATCTCTGAAGGGGAGAGCTGGGATCTGAAGCCAGGTGCCAAGACTCCAAATCAAGTGATTTTCTCACTATACTAGGCAGCCCCTTTCTATCAGGCCCTCGTGTTGTTTGCACTGTAAAGCTCAGCTATTGCAAGGCTAAGCCCTTGAAAGCTTAGTTTCAAAGCAGAAATTTCTCTCTCTCTCCACATACACAAACGCACATATACACATGACACAAATATGTACACATACATATATATTATATATACATATGCATGTATGCATATATATGCATATATATACAAACATATTTATCAGTTATTATTTCTTACAGAACCTAGGTCTTATCACTCCTGGTTCACTGTCCTTTCCACACGTCAAGGAGTACTTTTCATTTACTTAGAAAATCATTCTCCAAATGTTAGTAGTCATCAATGTCCACAATGATACAGTTTTAATTTGTAATGGGAAATTACCAATTGAAGACACTGGTTAGGAAGAATTAACTAAAACTAAAGTTCTAGTTGTATTCCTGTACAAAAGGAAAAAACAACCACCACCACCAATTCTTTCCAAATGGTCTCAAAAATCTAATATGAACACTCTACCTGTTCTCTTGCCTCAAATCGGTCTCAAAAATAAAACAAACACTGAAATATCCCCTAAATCAAATTTACCGTGAATTCAAAAGAGAATTAAACCCATTTATGTTGATGTAAAAATATAACTTTTGTTTTAAGCGTATTAAGTTGTTGTTGTTCGTCCTGAGTCAGAAATAGAATTTCCTCAAAAGAAAAAAAAAGAATTACTCTAAATGATATCAATATACAAACATTACCAAAATTCACTATATCAAGGAATGGACATTCCTATTTTAAAGCTGAAACCATAATGTTGGCAAGCCTATTTATAAAATTTTGTCTTTTTTCCCCAACTACTCTCTTTTCAGCATTCCAAAATACTAGAAGGACAAGATTCTCTGACGAGAAGTTAAGTGGCTTTGGTCAAGAGTGTAAAGACTATATTAAGGATGTAAATTGGGACAACAAACTACCACAGACAAGGTCAAATATACCCACAGCACTGCACTGTTACCCAAAAGACCATATGGAAACATTATGTACCCTTTTACTTACTTCTGGGCTAAGAACAGCAGTACTGTCACTGGGCACATCCTCTTCATAGCCTTTATTATGAAAACTTTCTATTTCATGTCCTGTACTTCCTTCGCTTGGGCATTTAGTGTATGAACATCTTGGACTGTTGCTACAGTGAGAAAATTCACATTTCCTGTCACCCATTTCTGAAGGTGTGCATGAGAGGTGTGGAGAGCCACTGTCATCCTGATATGGCGGTGGCTGCAATTCATCCAGTGGAGGTGTTCTTCTCATTCTTTGAATGCAGTTTGCTGTGAATGAGTGAGAATTCTTGTTATACTTTCATTAGAGCTTTAATTTTTAATATAATATGTGGTAGACTTAGATGATCAAAAGATTTCACTGAAAAATTTCATATTATTTTGGACTACAATATTTATAGATATAATTTCTCCTCTGTTAATTTTGAGGAGAAATAAAACCATCTTCTTCTAACCCTCTAAGCCTGTAAAACAGAATTGGGGGAAATGACAAAATATTTTTTGTTCCACTGAAAAAGGCAAAAGACATAATTAAGGACAAAAACAATGTTGAACCAACAAATAGAGACCTGAGGAAACTCAGTATTACTAGTAGAACTGCTTTTTTTCTCCTTTATGGCTAAAAGCTCCTATTCCAACCCAAATTTACTTCACATTTATAACTGTTGCGTACATGCAAACTCATAAATCAGCAGCATCCTGACTCTGCACATGGGCTATGATTTTCAACTCTATGTTATCACAGATCTGATAAACAATCATTCAATAAATACTTACTATCACTTACTATGTGCTAGGCACTGAGCTAAGATCTGGAAATACAAAGAAATGCAAAACACAGTTCCTGCCTTCCAGGAATTCACATTCTAAAGAGGAAGACAACATGTAAATAACTAGGAACATACAAGAGATATAAATAGAAGGCAATCTAAGAGGGAAGACATTGTCTGTGGGGGGAACTGGCAAAATCCTCCTGCAGAAGATGAGATTGGAACTGAGTCATGAAGGAAGTCCTGAGGGAAGCCACAAGATGGAGGTAAAATGGGATAGCCAGTGAGAAGGCACAGAATCAGGGGATGGCATGTCATAGGAGAAGAACGGCAAGAAGCACACTCTGGCGAGACTGTAGAATACCTTGAGCAGAGTAAAGTATAAAAAAAGACTGGAAAGGGATGGAAGGGTCCAGGATGTGAGGGCTTTAAATGCTAAACAAAGGAGTTTATACTTGAATTCTAAAGCTAATAGGGAGCCACCAGAGTTAACTGGGGGAGGAGGGCTACGAAGAGACCTATGCCTTTAAAAGAAAAGCCCTTTGGAAGCTAAGTGGAAGATGGATTGGGGGCAGGAGGGAGATTTGAGGCAAGAAGACCTTAGAAGGCTATTGTAATAGTCCAGGTGTGAGGTGATGATGGCCTTTACGAGGATGGTAGCTGTGAGAGATAGTGTGAAGGTAGAAACAAGAAAACAGGGCATCAGACTGGATATATGGTTTAAGTGTGAGTGTGAGCCTGGGTAACTGGGAGGATGGTGGTACCCTTCACAGTAATAGGACAGTTGGGAAGAGGATTGGGTTTGGAGGGAAAGGTAAGCATGACATCTATGCATTTATTAACATCATTGATTAAAATGTTATACAGCAGAATGCCAAGTGCAGATCACTGTAGCACTCTGATGAAGATTCTTAGCAAGCACCTGACTTAAACGCAGAATAGAGAGAAGGCTGCCAAAGTCACAAGTGGAATAGAATAAAAACTTGGTTGTATAAATCTTACAAGGAAGGATAATGGATGATTATAAGCAGTGTCATCTCATAAAGCAGAATCAGTGGAAGGTAAAACCAATTTAAAAAATTTGGCAAGTATTAAACTTAGCAAAGCCATCCCAAGGACACATAGGGACGGAGATGGAAGAAGGAGTTCAAGCAGAAGAAAAATGGAAAAGATTTATAAAAATCATTATGATAAACTGTTTTTTCCATAAAAGAAAGTGGAAGTAGCACACTTGAAGCTTAACATCACAATCTGGGATTTGGTTAGAGAGGAATTAGAAATTACACTAAAGAGAACAAAGACAGGAAAGGTGTATGTAGAGGAGATTCATGAAGGAGGTAACTTGTTTGAAATGTAGATGGACTCATACAAAGTATCTGAAGGAGGGGAAGATATGAAGTGTAGAAAAAATCTTGGGCCTTATTAATACTGAAAAAAGACAAATAAAAGAACATAAATAACTACTGATCCCAGCTTTGTAATCTATCTAAAATCTTTATGATTATGATTATGAATTGAGGGTATCCTTGATGAGGATGTGAGCAAGAAATAAGGTGCTGTGTAAGTGATATTCAACATTGGATCACATCTTTATCATTTCCCAATTAACTAAAGATTTAGAAAATATAAGATTCCATTGTGGTTATTATTTGCTAATTACGAAAAAGTATTTATTTGCAAGAACAAATGCCATTTTTTGACTTTTTTTACAGTAATATTTTTATTATTCATATATCAGAATTACTTAAGATTCCTTGGAAGATATAACCTTCAGATAACACACATGAGGTAAGATATGAAAAAGGTAGATATATGTTCACCAAATATATTCACTACTGTGATGGAGAAGATGCAGCACAAAGTCCAAGTCAAAGAGAGGATCCCTGTGTAATCCAGATGCTCCTGGTTGTAGAAGACATGCTGCTGATTTCATTATATTCCAGAACATCAGGAGAGTCTCTTGGAAGAGATCTGTAACAACTCAAAGGAGTATGGCCTCTCTAACCAGACAAGGAAGTAGACTAAAGTAGATGAAAAATGTATATTGCATAGTTTGTAATATGTACTGAATGAACACTCTCCAGAGCTTGTCTAGTAGTAGCATATCTGGGTCAGATAACACAAATGGACAATGAGTTAGGCCTAAAGGCTGGATTGCCTTCGGAAAACTGCAAAGCTTTCTTACCAATCTTAGACCTCTCATGATGGCAAAGGCCCATCTTTTTCATAATAACATTCTAATTACGCAGCCAATCTGTTGGCAACTCTTAATGCTATATGACAGCGAAACAGAATACAAATGCTTTTAAAGAACTAAAAATTATCACACAGAGGGCAATTACTAGGCATGCAGTGAGTATGAGCTGGTTACCGCATAGAACCAATGAGAAATTCTGAAGAGGTGTAAGACTGAAGGACTGTATGATAGGGAAAAAAAGATGGGCTGGTCACAGAGCAAGAACGAGGGATGACAAGCAGATAGCCAGAAGTGTTCCCTTGCTACAAATGAAGAATTAGGAGTAAGCACTGAAGATCTTCAGCACAAGGAGTAGACTCCCTGGAGTGAACTTATTGCATGTGTTCCACAGGACGAGCAGATACAGTCCAAGGTCTGCATAATGGGAGGAAATTTCCACATCAGTGAGATAATAGATCCATTTGAGTACTATGATCATCATGTCAATATTTCTCCAGGCTCTGCTCCCATTATTCTGTATTAGTGGATATAAGGTTTCTCTGATTCCATTTGTCATTTGTTACATTACAATAATACTTCCATTAACATCCATATACCACAATTTGTTCAGTCATTCACCAATTGTGAGGTTCCTACTTTGTTTCCAGTTCTTTATTACAACAAAAATTACTACTATGAATATTTTTGCATATATGGGTCCTTTCCCTCTCTCTTTGATCTTCCTATAACATATGTCCAGTAGTGGTAGTGCCTGGCTAAAGAGTTTGTAAATAATAATGATGCTATTAATAATAATAATGATAATAATAGCTATCATTTATATAGTGCATACTATATGCCAGGCACTGTGCTAAGCAATTTGTAATTACTATCTTGTTTTATCTCCAAAATAACTTTGGGAGGTAGGTGCTATTATTATCCTCATTTTACAGATAAAGAAATTGAGACAGATGGAGATTATGTGATGTGCCTACAGTCACACAGCTAGTAAATGTCTGAGGCTGGATTTGTACTCAAGTCTTACTGACTCCAGGTCAGATACTCTATCAACAGCACCACCAAGCTGCCCCACACAGTGTAGTGACTCTGGGTATAGCTTCAAATTATTTTCCAGAATGGTTGGAACAATTCACAGGTCCATCTACAGTACATTAGTATGCCTCCCTGAGCACAGTGAGATTATCACTTCACTTGTTGTGGTCATAATGTCTCTACTAGTGCAACCTAAAGTAGCGCTAGGTTGTTTTTGTTTGTTTGCCTTTAACGTTATATTGCTGGATCATAGTGTCATTTTCTTCACTAATCTCATAGGTGTGAAGTGGAATCTCAGAGAAATTTTAATTTGCATTTCTCATTATTAATGATTTGTTACATTTTTTCATTCCATCTTTTTTCAAGGAATACTTTATTCTCCCTGACAACCTGGAAAATAGAGAGGTGCTTCTGAGCCCTTTTACCTTCTCTTCTAGGAGGGAGACTAGCCTAAGCTTTGAGTACAGTTAATGGTTATGTAGCCCATACCAGAAATAATATGCCATAACCAAACAAATGTTGTGCATTCTAAAAAGGTGACTACAAAGGTCTCCACACTATCTGGAAATGAGTTTCTCAGTTCTCCATCATACTTGTAGAGAACTCTTGTACAAAACTCCCTCGGCTAGCTGCTCACTGGCATATCTGTCAGCCTTTCTGGAAATCCAATAGTTGGTGCTAAATAATTTCTCACTTGGGTGTTCTTTCTTTTGGTTTTTGTTTTTTTTTTTATTTTGAGATGATGCTACTTTGTTCAACTGACTTTCACAATTAATAGCTATCTACCACAAGTCCAAAGCAAAAAGCTCCTAAGCATAGCTGATATATATGTAGTGGAATCTGAATGCAGTTACCAAATCACTTCATACTTTCTTCTCCTCTTCCTCTAACTTCTCCTGAAAATAACTCTTAGCAAGCTTCCTCACAACTTCCCACTTTGCTATTGCTTCTTAACCTGTTCCCAATGATCCCCATTACTACGCCTTAAAAATAGCAATCTTCTTGCCTTTTTTGCCTTTTCTTGTGAAATCGCCTAGCTGATTCAGCTGCTTTATATTAATAATTAGGAGCATTTTGCTAAAGCCCCAACACCAGGTCATCTTCTTTTGGACTTGCTTCATTTTCTCCATGTCCTTCCTAAAATGTGATGCCCCCTATATAAACACAGCATTCTAGATGTAGCCTGAATAGAACAGAATAGAACAGAATAGTGGGATCATCACCTCATTTGTTCAGGACACTGTGTCTCTACTAATTCAATCTGTAATCAT